GGGATAAAGCACCACGGAGCAGCCCGGAGTGCATGGCCTCCTCCTCTGTACCCGCTTCCCCTGCCCAGCTGTAACCAAGAGGGGTGAATAAATAGAGTTTTTACTGAATGCTAGCCCGGAGGTTTTCTGCCTGCACCCTGCCCTTCCCTTAGGATTTGCTCAGAGCAGAGTTGCTTGGTGGAAGTCGATGCTCCTTCCTTTGTTGCCTGGTGTTGCCCTCTGTGTGCTGCAAGTTTCACAGAGAAGCCAATTTCTGTTGTTAACAAATAAGGTTTTGTTACGGATGCACCACATGGAAACATCATACAGCATCAGGGGCATCCTCCTGCGGCTGTGGGATCGGGGGAGACACTGGGAGAGGGATAAAGTGGATAAAGAACAGCCCAGTGTGGTGCTCCTGAGGAATTGCCCACGATGGGAAGAGACGTTTCTGAGAGGGAAAGTTCCTGCTGCACACTCTCTCCCCTCTCCTGCTTTGTTAGTAGGGATTTTCTGTGGAAGCAGAGTCTTTGTTCCTTCCCCGTGCTCCTGGTCAGCCTCCTTTGCTAGGAAATGAGCAGATCTTTGGAAACAAAGCTCTTCTTTGCATGTAAATGCTCCTGAAGAATGGCAGCGGCCCGGGAGACAAAGCAAAGCTCTTTGCACAGAGAAGTGCAGGTCCTGGCTTCAATGCCATCCCCTCTGCAGTGCTGAGGGGCTGACAGGGTCCTGTTCCTCCCAAAGCCACCCAGGCCAGTGGGGACAACCGTGGGCTGGGGTCCACAGCTCTGAGGTCACAGGTGGATGAACCTAGCGCTATTTTCTTATATTGTGAGACTGTACGATAGGAATTTGACTGGGAGCAGCTCCTTACTGGTTGGACCTGAAAGGGGAGGCTAGTTGTGTGTTGTTGCCTCCTTTCTGGCTGTCTTTGTTTTTAGTTTTCCCTTGCTGTCAATAAAAGTTCTACTTTTGGGAAGCTGCTCCGCCTGCCCCCTGTCCGTGCTTCCTGCCGGGATGCTGTGGCTGCCACTGGGGCTTGGCACCCAGAGAGGAAGCAAAGCCTTCCTCCACCCTTGCTATTCCCCCCTGGCCTCTGTGATCCGCTTATTTCGGGGATTTGGGATTGCACTGCACGCTCCTCAGTGTGGGGTTTGCTGTCTGCTTGGCTCCTGCCGCTCCAGCTTTTTCCAGGTCTGGTATTTGGTGCTGCTGCAGGAAAATCTTTCCACCACCTCACCAGGACGCTGGGCTGAGCCACGCTCCACCCTTTGGAGCACTTTGGAGGAGTTGGTGGCTGTGCCCTGTTCCTGCTCCTCGCTGCAGGGGCCCAGACAGGGTCCCCACCCACCAGGAAGGGACACAGGCAGCTCTCTCTGCCCCAGCCTTTGTCCCAGGGCTGGAAAAGCATCTTGTCCCACTCCAAGGAGCTTTGCAGGCATTTGAGGAGCCTTCAGGGAGGGCCAAGCTCCTGTTCCTCCCAAAGGAATGGAGAAGGAATTGATGCTGGTGTGGGAGCATGGGAAAGGCAAGGCATGACGAGGATGAGAGAGCTTGGGTGGTGCAATTCAGAGAACTCCCAGAGAAAATTACACGCCTGAGGAGCTGGAATTTAACCCTCTAGCAGGGGAGCTAAACCTGGGGCTCAGCCCTGCTGCCAGCACATGGCCAGGAGCTGTGTCCAGTGCCAGGACAATGACATGAACTGAGGGGAGCAGTGAGGAACAGCTCAAACCCCTGGATCCCCACCCAGTCTCAGTGTTCCCCTCCCATGGGATCAGCCCCCGGTGCCATCCTTTCCCCAGAGACAAAGCCAAGGATGCTCAAGCAGATGTAAATTTATTTCACAGCCAGAACCCATGCAGGGCCCAGGGGGGACTCAGAGCTGCAGCTCTCGTGCAGGTTCAGCCAGAATTTTACTTTTCAGCCTCTTCTTTCTGTTCCTCTCCTTCCTCCTCTTCCCATGGGTGGTGGGGACCGGCGAGGGAGTGGCTGGCACTGGCTCCCTGCCCACTCCCTCCGGTGCCGGGGCATCGCTGAGGATGGTGTTGGATGCTTCCCCCAGGGATGGCAACAGGGCCCGGGGATCAGCAGGGGCAGCAGCTGCAGGATGGTTCTGTGCCCTGTGGCCTTTCTTTTTCAGCCCTTTCCCCTTTTTTTTCTTATCTTTCTTTCTCTTCCTCTCTTTCTTGACTGCCTTGGGCGCTGTCCCCGTGTGATGATCCACTGGGAGGGCTCCTCCCTCTGTGCTGCCCCACAGGGGGCTCAGGGGGACTCCCCTGGGCCTGGCTGCCCTGTCGATGAGCTCCCCCCCAAATTCATACAGCACCGGCTCTCGGGGCACCGCCACGGCCACCGTGTTGTACGTCTTGCACCTGCCAGAATCGAGGAGGCACCACGGGGTGGGACAAGCCCGGGCAGGGGACAGTCCCCAGGGCAGGGGGGCACTCACCAGACATAGAGATAGGGCTCCACACACTCCTCCCTGTAGGTGAACTCGAAGCAGGGCACCTGGATGACGTTGAAGAAGGCCTGGCCCACCACCCGCGAGGCCGTGTCGTTCACCCGCCGCAGGCACTCCTTCAGCCTGCCCGGGGCACAGCCGGGCTCAGGGGCTCAGCTGGGCACAGCCGGGCACAGCTGGGCACATCTGGGCTCAGGGGGCACAGCTGGGCTCAGGGGGGCACAGCCGGGCTTAGGGGGCACAGCCGGGCTCAGGGGGCACAGCCAGGCTCAGGAGGGCACAGCCGGGCTCAGGGGGCACAGCTGGGCTCAGGGGGCACAGCTGGGCTCAGGGGGGCACAGCCGGGCTCAGGGGGCACATCTGGGCTCAGGGGGCACAGCCGGGTTCAGGGGGCACAGCCAGGCTCAGGGGACACAGCTGGGCTCAGGAGGGCACAGCCGGGCTCAGGGGGCACAGCCGGGCTCAGGAGGGCACAGCTCGGTTCAGGGGGCACAGCCGGGCTCAGGAGGGCACAGCCAGGCTCAGGAGGGCACAGCCGGGCTCAGGAGGGCACAGCTCGGTTCAGGGGGCACAGCTGGGCTCAGGGGGCACAGCCGGGCTCAGGAGGGTACAGCCGGGCTCGGGGGGCTGCCAGCCCCCGGGGGGATGCCGGGGTGCCCCGGGGCAGGCTGGCAGGCTGGCACTCACCGCTGGTCGCAGTCGCAGTGGCTGATGGTGTGCCAGCGCAGGTTGCGGTAGCCGTAGCGGGCGCTGAAGGGGTGGATGACGTGCTGGCAGTGGTCGTGGTCCCGGCAGCACCGGTCCGTGTCCCGGTGCTCCCCTGTGGGGAAACGGGGGCTGCAGGCAGGGCTGGGGGGCCATGAGCAGGGCTAGGGTTGAGCTAGGCTAGGACTGGGATCAGGATTAGATTGGATTGACACAGGCATGGAATCATGGTGGGATGGGTAAGGATGGATGGGTTGGGCTCAGCTGGATCAGCACAGCGTGGGGACAAGGCTGGCGCTGGGATGGGCACTGGGCAGTGCCAGTACCCCACTGGGGATGAGAATGGGACTAAAATGGATCCTGGAGCAGGGCCACGAGAGGGTTTAGACTGGGATCAGGAGAGCAACTGGGAGTGGACCAGTCTTGGGATGGGAACTGGAATGGCAGCAGGATGGAGCACAGAGTAGGCTGGGGACAGAGGCTGGATCAAGAGTGCACCAGCACCAGATTGACAGTAACTGGGCAGAGGTGAACTGGGATTGGACTGGTGCTTGGGTGGGGACTGAACTGGGACAGACAGGAATTGAATTAGCATGGGAACAGGGGCTGGAGTAGACCAGTACTGGGATGGACTGGATTAGGATTTGTGGGGACTGACCCAGCACTGGGCTGGGTGGGTTGGAGGAGCACTGGGTTGGGGATGGGGTGGGATGGGATGGGATGGGATGGGGATGAGGAGAAAGGATTTGAGCAATAGAATTGGAAGGGATGGAAGGCAGTGGGATGGGATGGGAAGATACATGTAGCAGCATCCCTGCCGCCCTTACCCAGCTGCTCGTAGCTGTCCGCGTTGCTGCCCGCACCGCACCACAGCGTCCCGGGGTAGGTGAGCCCGCGGCGGGCGCGGGCCCGTCCCGGCGGGGCCGCTCCGGGGGCAGGTGGCAGCAGGAGGAAGAGGAGGAGGAGGAGGCAGCAGAGCAGCCCCGGGGCGCACATGGCACCGCGCCGCTCGCCGCCGTGGGGCCGCCTTATAGAGTGGCGCAGCCCGCCCACGCGGGGCGGCCCGGCACGGCTTGGCACGGCCCGGCACGGCCCGGCACCGCGCCGAGGGTCCCGCAGAGCCGGGGTGCTGCAGCCGCTCCCGCAGCCGCGGCACGTCCCGCGCCGCCAGCCCGCGGGGAAGGGGTCACCCCTCCCGGTGGGACCGGCCCCGTTGCTGTGGCAGCCGGTGGGGTGATGTGCCGGGACCGGTAACGAGCCGGCCCCAAACCCCCGCCCCGTGACGCACCGGCCCCCGCACAGCCCCCGGCCCCGAAGCGGCCCCCGACGGGAGAACGATGCTCCCTGCATCCCTGCGTCCCACCCTATGGATGCTCTGTGCAGCCCCGGATCCCAGCCCACAGACACGCTCCCTGCATCCCCGTGTCCCTCCCCGCGGGTGCTCCCCACATCTGCACGTCCCACCCCACGAGCGGGTGCTGCATCCCCATGTCCCATCCCACGGAGGCTCCCTGTGGCGCTGCATCCCATCCCATCCCATCCCATCCCATCCCATCCCATCCCATCCCATCCCATCCCATCCCATCCCATCCCATCCCCATCCCCATCTCCATCCCCATCCCATCCCGTCCCACAGATGTGCCCGTACGCCGTGTGACATCCCGGAGCCCGGTGCCAGCCGGGCTGGCAGCCACACTGGCATTCCCAGAGCGCTGCCAGGGCTGTCCCTCCTGCCAGCTCCTGCCCCAGGAGCCCATTGGCAGTCAGGGCACGGCCCTGGCTCACTGGGATGCTGTGAGATCCAGCTCTCCACAGGGCAGGACAGATCCTGGACACCCCAACGGGGACGTGCGTGGCCTCAAAAAAATCCCTGCACTGCCCGGGACCACCCAAAGCTGCGGGACACCCCCCGAGCATCGCCCTGGCTCGCTGGCCCTCGCATCACAGGGTGCCACACCACTGTGCCACCCGCGCTGGCACGGGCTGGGGACACCCACGTGGGGTGCAAACACCGCAGCCCCTTTTCTTCCCAGCACAGCACTGCCTGGCTGGGACAGCAGAGCCGGAGGGGGACATCGCTGGCCCGTGGGAAGGGTTCCTGCCTGGCACTGTTCCAGCGTCCAGCTGGCCGAGGGCGCTGGCCCGGTGCCACAGGGGCTGCCCCCGCTCAGCTGTCGCTGTCTGTGACGCTCCCGTGACGGTCCCGCTCGGCTCAGCCCTGCCACCAGCACCCAGGTACGGAGCCAGAATGGGAACCCTGGGCCTTGGGGTGCCACGTGTGGGTGTGGGTGGGGGGCACCAGGCCGTGGGGAGCCCTGTGGAGAACGGAGGTGGGGAAATCTCACCCCCCCCTCCCCTTCATGTTCAGTGCTTGCAGCGCCTGCAGTCCCCACGCATGGACCTGTGCCACGTCCCTGCCACCCGGGAGAAGGGCTGGTACCTGGCACTGATGGCCCCCAACGTCAAAGGTCCCAACTATGCCTGGCTGGACCCCTCCCGGCTCTACTGCCACCCGCAAGTACCCAGTGCCCGGGGTGCCAGGGAGGGCTGCATCCCCACGGGGCTGCTGGGGCGCCCAGCTGTGGGTGCCCACGGTGGGCTGCGGGCACCCAGCCCCTCCGCTCTCCCCCCAGGGCTTGCAGGACTGCGTGGCCGACCTGCTGCAGCCCTTCCAGGGAGATGCCATCGACATGGTGGCCGGCATCGACGCCATGGGCTTCATCCTGGGTGAGCAGGACGCGGCTCACGGGCCAGCGTGGGGTCCCTGCCCCTTGTGCCGGGGCTCTGACGGCGCCGTGCCACCTCCAGGCGCCGCGGCCGCTGCTGCTCTGCGGAAAGGCTTCCTGGCCATCCGCAAAGCCGGGCACCTGTGCGTGCAGACGGTGGCACAGCCCTACAGCGACTACTCGGGCCGCCAGAAGGTGATGGAGGTCCGCACCGATGCCATCTCACCGGGTGAGCCAGCAGGGCGCTCCCCTGCCAGGGGGCTGCGGCGTGGGCACGGGGCGCTCATCCACAGCCTCTGCCCCCTCCAGGTCTGCGCATCCTTCTGGTGGACCAGTGGGTTGAAACTGGGGGCACCATGAGAGCGGCCATCGAGCTGGTGGAGCGGCTGGGCGGGGTCGTGGCAGGTAGGAGAGGGCAGCCCAGGGTGCACCCATGGGTGCAGAGGGACCAGCGTTCCCACGGGGTGTGGTGGCCAGTGCTGAGCCCCCCTGCGTGTCCCCACAGGCGTCGCTGCCATCTGCATGGAGAACAGCGAGGGAGGGAAGTGGATCCAGGAGCGCTACAAGTGCTCCCACTGTGTCCCCCCGCGCCTGCAGCCCCGCTTCGACCAGCACCGCTTTGGCTGGGACTGACGTGGGAGTGTCACCTCGTGTGTCCCCTGGAGGGCTGCTGGCTCTGCAGGACAGGGATGCTCCTCGGTGGAAAAGGAACTCATCCTCAGCGGCAGCCATCCATCCTCCTGCTTCCCTGTGAGCCTGGGGGCTGCAGCCAGGGACAGGGAGACCCACAGCCAGCCCCAGCCCCCTGCCCCCAGCCCCACACCTTCCTTACAAAGCATAAAAAAGATTTTATTAAGGCAAAAGGGAGCCTGAGGACATCTCCCCCTGCAAGCAGTACCTGGGTTTGCATAGCTACAGGAGCCACACGAGTGCTCCTGCCTGCCCCAGCCAGGGGTGCCCAGGCAGGCAATGGGCTGGGGGGGCTGGGGGTGGCAGGGACATCTCCTGGGGGCCGGCCGGGGTCGCCCCTCTTTGGTCCAGAGGTGTGAGCACGGAGGGGGCCGGGGCCGTCCCCTCACGGGCAGCACTTGCGATTCCTGCGGGGCGTTGACAGGTACAGGTCGCTCTCCCTGCTGCTGATCCCTGAGGCACACAGGAAGGAGGGTTGGTGGCTGGCTGGCTGCGGGGACCAGGGGGACACCCACGCAGGGCTGGCCAGGGCTACTCACGCACGGTGTCGCCGATCCTGCGGGCGCCGCGGCCGCGCTCCAGCTCGGCCAGCACGCTGCCCTCAAAGGTCAGCGCCGCCACTCGGAAGAAGAAATCCCGCACGTTCTCCCCTGAGGGAAGAGACCCCCTGAGTACCCCCTGACCTGGCTGGTGCCGGGATCTGTAGCCCCCCCAGCCAGCTGGGACTCACCAGTGAGAGAGGAGACAGCCCAGTACTCTGCCTGCATCTCCTGGGCCACCTTGAGAGCGTCCTTCTCTATCAGGCTGTACTTTGCTGGGGTCTGCCAACCAAGCCGGGCGTGGGTGGGTGACAGGGACAGCCAGGGCACAGTTTGCCCACAGGGATGGGGACACACTCACAGTCAGATCCTTCTTGGAGCCCACCAAGAAGAGGATCACGTTGGATGGGTCGTTCTCCTTCAGAGCCTCAGCCAGCCACTGCCTGTGGGAGCCACTGTCACCAGCTGCTGGCCGAGCACTGCCCTCGTGCCCACACACCTCAGCAGCCCCACAACCCCTCTCTGTCCAGCCCTAAAGGCCCCCATGCTGGGCCATGTGTCACCCACCGTGTGTGCTCCAGGGTCTCCAGGTCATTGATATCGAAGACAATCACGATGGCTGGGAAGGAAGGAGGGGTGAGATGGGGACGGGGACAGGGACAGGGACAGTGGGGTGGCATCTGGGCTGCAGTGAGGAGCTCACCCTGTGCTCCCCGGTAGTAGGTGGAGGCGATGCACTTGAAACGCTCCTGGCCAGCCGTGTCCCACCTGGGGGGATGTGGGAGGTGAGGAGGGGGTTGCAGGGGTGTGTGGGGAAGGGGCTGGCACCTACTCACAGCTGCAGGCTGAAGGGCACCCCCAGCACCTCAAACCGCTCCATCTCGAAATCCACCCCGATGGTCGCCTTGTAGTTCTTATCAAAAACGTCCTTGCAAAACCTGGTGGGGAGTGAGGCGGGTATCAGCATCCCCTGACCCCCTCATCCCAACCCCGTGGGGGCTCAGCGTCCAGAGTCTGGCTGGAGCTGGGCTCAGCCCACGGTGCTGCCGCCCTTTGGGGGAAAGGGATCCCTCCCCCCCATCGCCATCCCCCTCCGAGCCTCTCCGGGGGTCCCGTTACCGGTTGATCAGGCAGGTCTTCCCCACCGAGAGGTCTCCCACCACGATGATCTTGGAGATCTTGAACCTGCAGCGAGGGGGACGCGCGGCTCGGCAGGGTGGGGGGCAAGGGGGACTCCCATCACCCCACGGCCCCTGGCGGCCGCGGCGCTCCGCATCCCCGCCCCGCGCTCCCCGCGTGTCCCCCCGTGTCCCCCCCGCGCCGCATTCCAGCGCCGTGACGCAGGGCTCGGCACCGGGCAGCGCCGCCAGCCACGCGGCGCCCACGCCGCGACCCCCACGCGCGGCTGGGGCACCCACGGCACCCCCACCCCGACCCCCACCCCGACCCCGAAACGGGCGGCACCGACCCCACGGTGCCCGTCCGCTGCTCCTGGCAGGCGCTGGCCACCGTGGGGTGGAAGGAGGGGCGGGTGTGCAGGGCGGCCTCCGTCCGAAAACACTGCGGAAGGGACAAAGAGGGGACACCGGCGTGACCACGGGGCTCGGCCGGGTCGCCCCCCACGGGCTGGCGTGTCCCCCTGCTCACCGCGGGCAGGTCGGTGATGATCCGGTCCCTGCGGACCGGAGCCAGCACGTTCATGGTCCGGGGGTGGCCGGGGGGAGCAGCGGTGGGATGAGGGTCACCGCGGGGTCTGGGGACAGAGAGAGCAAGGAGTGGCGATGTCCTCACGGCACAGTTGTGGCCACCAGCAGCACTTTGGAGCGTGGTTGTCCCCGTGTCCCCAGGTGGGACTGTCCCCTTAGTCAAACACTCTCCACTTTCCCAGGACACGGCTGTCCCCTGTGTCCTGATTCCCCAATGCCACCAAGGCTGGCTGTCCCCACATCCCTGTCACCTCGAGCCCACATCTGTCCCCACATCGAGCCACCTCGACTGTGGCTGTCCTCACACCCTGGCGCATCCCCACATCCCCATCCTAAGGTATCAGTGTCCCCCTGCCCTCAGCTGTGGCTGTCCCACACTGTCCCACAATGTCCCACACCCCGCGACAAAGCTGTCCCCGTGTCCCTGCACACCCGTGTACCACTATCCCCATCCACCCATCCCCGTGTCCCAGCTGTCCTCACGGCCATCCCACGGTATCACTGTCCCTTGTCCCGCAATCTCGCTGTCCCCAAATCTCACCCACCCCCACCTCCGTGTCCCACCCGTCCCCGCGTGTCCCGCCCGTCCCGTGTCCGCCGTGCACAGACCCCGCCGTCCCCTCGCCTCGTCCCAGTCCAAGATCAAGCTCTCCCTGCCTCGTCCCTGTCCCCACGGTGAGGGGATGACCCGGGGTGTCCCCGTTACCGTCAACCTCCCAGCTCCGGTAGCGGTGCTCGGTTCTTCACGCCCAGTCCCGGAGTAACCGGCGTTCTGGCCCCTCCCACGCCCCCGTTCGGGGGCGTGGGAGGGGCCAGAACGCCCGTTACTCCAGGCCTGGGCCATTGCGCTGCTACCACCGCGACGGGACCCCGGTAATCCCCCGCCACCCCGGGGTTCATCCCGGTCCCGCACCGCCACGACGGCGGCAAGGGACAGCAGCGTGCCAGACTACAACTCCCATGACGCCTCGCGGCGCACGGGACACCATCGCGCGTGTGCGCGGGATGCCGTTAAGAACTACTACCACTACCGGCATGCTTCGGAAATGTCGCGAGAGTTGGGGCGGCGGGGTGATGGGGGGATTCCGTCTTGCTCCCGCGAGATTTTGGGGAGGGTATAAGCCCGTGCAGCGCGGGGTGGGAGACCCCTTTCGGCTTCCGCCTGGCCAAGATGGCGCCCAAGGCGAAGAAGGAGGGTGAGGGCGCGGGGCTCTGGTTCTGTGTTGGGGCCGCGGGGCGGCGTGTGGGACCCCGCGGGGAGCTGGTATATGTGTGTGGGGGGATGAGCTAAGCGAAACGGGGAGTAGCGCGGAGTTCCGGCGCTGTGTTAGGCGCGGGCACGTGTAGGGGGCGGGGCAGGCCTGCCGGCTTGTCCGAGGGAGGTGGGGGATGTTCCCGCCTCGATGCTGGGAGTCGTGTGTGGGGAGGGAATAAGTGACTTTACCCGCATGGAAGCGGGAGACTTTAAACTCAAGTTGGGCGTTTTGGGGCTCCTCTCGGTTGCGTGAGGAGCGCGGGGCGCTGGGTGAGGTCCTGCTCATTGACCGGGGGAAGCCGCAGATCCTTGTGGTGCTGACTGAGCTCTCCTCACAGCTGTGCCTCCGAAGACAGAAGCTAAGGCAAAGGCGCTGAAGGCCAAGAAGGCCGTCCTGAAGGGGGTCCACAGCCACAAGAAGAAGAAGATCCGCACGTCGCCCACTTTCCGCAGGCCCAAGACGCTGCGGCTGCGGAGGCAGCCCAAATACCCCCGGAAGAGCGCCCCACGGAGAAACAAGTGCGTGGGGGGTGTGGGGCTCTGCCCGGTTTGGGGGGTGGGAGCAGCCCTGGTGGTTTAGGGTGCAGGTGATGATTTTAAAGCGACCAAAGCCTGAGAGTTTGTGATTATGACCTTAGGTGACTGATGCACCCCAAAGAAAGCCCCTGAAAATTCAGAGGAGTGGCTGCCAGGCCTCTGTTAATCATAGGGCCTCTCTTGCAGGCTGGACCATTATGCCATTATCAAGTTCCCTCTGACCACAGAATCGGCGATGAAGAAGATCGAGGATAACAACACTCTGGTGTTCATCGTGGATGTCAAGGCAAACAAGCACCAGATCAAACAGGCTGTCAAGAAGCTGTATGATATCGATGTGGCCAAGGTTAACACGTTGATCAGGTGAGAAGGGGGAGGAGAGCAGGTCCCTGGTGGGTGTGAGGTGCTTCATTTTAGCAGGAAGTGGGAACACGTGTGTTTGAGGTTCAGCAGATGTGGGATAAAGCTCCATAGCTAAGTGCAGCTTTTGACTGAGCACATCTTGGTGGAAGTGGGAAATGTTGGCAGGCCAGAGTGTTGGTTTCCTCAGGGAGCTCTTGGCTTCTTCGGGGGGCTCTTTGCCTCTTCAAGGAGCACTTCTGACACCCAGGGAGTCCTGTGCAAATGATGTAAACTTTTGATTCCACTGAGTAATGTGATGCTTCCAAAGGAACCACTGATGCACATGGGAGTTGCAGGAATGTGGAGCAGGGGGGAGGAGTTGCCTCTGTCCTGATGCCTCCTCTTCCTCTCTAGGCCTGATGGAGAGAAGAAGGCTTACGTCCGACTGGCTCCGGATTATGATGCACTGGATGTGGCCAACAAGGTGAGATGTCTTTAAAACATGGGAGCTTTTTTTGCACTTTGTCTCATGTCTCCTCCACTGGTTGTTCTTCCTGAGTTTCTTCATGAGGTACTTGTGCTTCAAGCGTGGTGGCACTTCTGTGGCCTTGTAGGCAGACAGGATCTGAGTGCTGAGGAGCCAGGCTCAGTCAGTTCAGTCCTCAAGGAGGCAGAGGTGGTACAGAGAGGAGTAGGGAAATGTACAGCACAAGGAGCACTGTGGAAATAAATGTCCCAAGTGGGTGTGTAAAGCTCTTGGGCTGGTCTGGGAGGAGGAAGCCTTGGAGGACAGAAATCCTGGAGAGAAGCAGCCGTGGCAGTGATGTCTGTGGTAGAAGCTCTGCCTTTCTGCCTACCATAACATCTGTTTTAACATCCTTTGCTTCTTTCCAGATTGGAATCATCTAAACTGCATCTGCCGAGGACTGTACAGACTTAATAAACTTTGTGACACCACTGAGGGCTCTTGTGTTTTGTGGCAGCACAGCCCGTGTGAAAGAGAGCACCCAGCAAACTTCTGGGCCTTCACTTCCTTACAGGGGCTCCTCCTTCCCTTCCTGGCAGTGGTGGGCAGAGCTGACTGCTCCAGGAGAGGGCTGTGCAGGGACAGTGCTGCCCTACTCAGAGAGTGTTTGGGATTCTGTCAGTGTGAGGTGACACCTAAATCTCAAATACCTCTACATTTTCCCCCAGATCTCTTGTGCCTTGCATTTTCTTGCACAGGGTAATTAGGATGTGTTTGTGAACAGTGTTCTGGGTGTTCTACATCTCTTCCTTGTGAAACCGACCACGGGTGGCCACAACAAAAACCTGGCAGTGGCTCTGATGTGACACAGGTGACCTGTCACACCATTTCCCCAGCGTATCAGCTCCCTGCTTATGCTGCAGGTTCACTTGGAACCCTCCTGCTAATCCAGCAGTGGAGGCTTTGTGGGTTTTTTCTGGCACAATCTCCACGTGCTTACAGCGTGAGTTTCCCTGGTGCTGTTCCTCACAGGGTTCACTGTCCTCAGGGTTGTTTCCAAATGCTGCTGTTGGCTGCCTCTACAACGTTTGGCTTTAAGTGTCTAGATGAAACCAGGTTTTTGGAGTGTTTGGAGTCAGGAGAACGTGGAGCACTGGGTGAGCAGGGAATGGGGGAAATACGCAAAAGTCTTCAGGGTACTTGAGCTTAAGTACATACTTAGATTTGACTGAGAAAGATGATGAAAGCCATGACCAAATATTGACTGGGGTGTTTGGGCTCTTGAATGCTGGGACACCGAGTTCCTTCAGGCCTCTTGGGGGTGGCAGATTCCCAGGGCAGTGGTGGATGAAAAGAAGGGGCTGCTCTCAGGACTAGGGTGGAGCTTTGTGCTGAGTTGTGTGGCCCTGGCTTGACACCCCTCACTTGGGATCGGGCGAGGTGGGCAGGAGATGCTCCCTGCCTGCTGTAAGGGATGGAAAACTGCCTGGAGGATGAGTGCTGCTTCCCTGTGTGCTTCCCTGTCACCACCAATCCAGCCTCTTCCCTGTGGATGTGCAGAGCAGGGTCCCCTGACCCCCAGGCACCTTTTTACACGTAGTCACATGTAAGAAAGACGTGGGAGAAGTTGCCCCTCTTGCAGCAAAGCTGCTGTCACTGCTGGGCAAGGATTGGGGCTGCAGAGGCTGGGTGTGCTGCAGCCAGAGGCTGGAGGAATTCCACATCAGCATGACTTGCAGTCAGCCTTGGCTCAGCTCAGCCCAGTGGTGCTGCCCTGGTGCTTCTCTTGCCTCTTGCTCCTGGCTGCCAGCCTGCCTGCTCCCAGCTGCACTGCTGGGGGAGGCTCCGGGAGGGGAACAGCAGGGAGCTGTGCTCCCTCCTTCGGGCAGCTTTGTCATGCCTGGTGTGGGCTGGTCTGAGCCTGTGACCTGCTGGGACAGAGCTGGGTCTGCTTCAAATGGAGAGACAAGGGGGAATGTGTGCAGCAATAGGGGTGAGGGCAAAATTAACGTTTGGGCCTAGTTGTGATGGCAGATGCAGTCATCTAAACTGGAAAGAGGCCACGAGGCTTAAGCTGCAGCTGGAAGACACAGACATAGCTGTTGGGATGTGCTGCTGAGAGCAAGGCTGGGCCCTGCCAGGGCTGCTGAGCTCTGCTTTGAGCAAGCAGGGACGAGGCAGCAGGTTTGGAGCTGGTATCGATCCCTGCCCACACTGTCCAAGCTATCACATCTCTGTTCCAGCTGCCAGGCTGTTCCTGGCACCGGTGTCAATGCACACCAGGGAGTCCCACCAGCATCCAGATCCTGTGGGGTGTTTCCTGGCTCTCTGGTGGAAAGGTGATTCCCCACTGCCTCCCCTTAATCACCAGCTTATTTCAACCGCAGTGCCTGTCTCTGCCTGAGCCGGGCAGGTGCTGGGGTGGGTGGGACAGATCCTTCCCAGAGCAGGATCCTGCTGGGCAGGAGTCGCTCTAAACTCCCCTCTAAGCTGCTAACACTGATCCCAGAGCTGTCACATCAGCAGGATTTGCCTCTCTGGTGCTCCACAGGACCGGCTGGGCCAGTTCTGGCCCTACTCTCCCAGGGAGCTGAGCCCCACTTCTGCGAGAGTTGCTGGAACCATCCCGGTCCTGTGGCTGCAGGAGAGGGGCCAGCATGCTCATGGGGCTGCAGCTGCACTGCTCCAGGGGGATGCAAGCATGCAGAAATCTTCCAGGAAGAGCCCTTGGCCTCACATGGCTTTTCCATGCCAGCTCCACTTCACGTGGCTGTTGGGTGAGTCACACAGCCCAGCCAAGCTCCTCACCGCCAGGCTGGAGACAGGCAGGTCAGGCACTGCCACAAGGCTTGGTACCTCTCCTGGCTCCCTTCAACTGTTCCCTGCACAGCCCTGGGTCTCTGGAAGAGCAGAGGAATGAGGAAGAAGAGGGGAGCCCATCCACATAAGAGACACAGTTGTGCTGTTCTATGCTCAACTGGGTTGGCAGGAACCAGCAGGCTGAAAGGTCCCTAGGACAAAGCGAGCAGCAGGAATGTGCCCTCTCCTTCCCTGAGAGCTGCCAGCCCTCCTCAGGGAATGGGGCACATCCTGTCCCAGAGCCCTGGCCCAGGGGGAGCCCCCAACCTGCTCTGCCCCACAGAAGAGCCAGCCCAGGTGTGCTGCGGCAGCAGTAAATAGACCGATTTTAATGCTCATAACACCCAACATCACCACGGGAGGGACTCCTTCCCTCCCTCACAACCCTTCCAGGCATCAGCTGCAAAGCACAGCCACCCCTGGCCCTCCAGCTGCCTGCAGGGAAGCTGACTTGGGCTGCTTCTCCATCGGCCATGCCTCTGGCTTCAGCAGCATCCCCGCAGCTCGGTGAAGCTGTCGGGCTGGTCCGGCAGGGAAGCGCTTTTAGGCAGCAGAGCGGGTGAAGGCAGGGCCTGGGGCCAGGGAGCGAGCCCTAAGGCACATCAGAGCAGCTTTGGAGAGCCCAAAACTTCCAGCAGCCGGAGCCCGGGTCCCCCTGGGCGCGCACGTCTCAGTCTATCAGAAACTTCTCACCGTCTACATCTCTCCCCGCAGAGCCCTTGCGCAGGGAGGGGAAAAAATCGGAGCGGAGGAGGCGGGAGAAGTACATGAGGATCATGGCGTCGAGCAGCAGCAGGTTGGCGGTGAGGAAGGCACCCTGGCCCTGCACCTCCACGTAGCGGAGGAAGTACCAGGTGAGGTAAGCCTGGGGCGCCAGGCGGAAGGCGAAGTACATCACCAGGTTGATGTACTTGTTGGCCTCGTAGAGCGCCGGGGAAGGCACGTTGCTCATCTTCAGCAGCATGCGCACCGTGAGGAAGATGTTGCTCACCTCCACCAGCAGCAGCAGCACCGCTGCCACCAGGAAGCGGCCTGTGACGATGAGCGAGACGAAGGCAGAGATGGCCTGGGACACACACACACACACACACAAAGCAGGGTCAGCTCACCTTGCCCTGGGGAAAGCGAGTCCTTCCCCGACCTCAGTGAGAGCACACAGTTCTGTTCCCCCACCCAGAGATCCCAGCGGGCAGCTGAGCTTAGAGAAAACCGGTCTGGAAAGCCAGATCCCCCAGGACCAGTTACACCTCCCTGTGCTGGGATAAGCCTCCAGCTCTTTCCGCTCCCAGCTCGGCAGCCTGGCTGGCTCCAGGCGCTCGGAGCTGATGCTGGCAGGCGTCCTGCCCCACCAGGCGCCCTCGCCTTGTTGATACAGAGCCTACCTGGCAGCAGGGCGAGACACAGGGAAGAGCACCAGCTTGCCCCACCATAGCCTGTGAAACCTGGGTGGGCTGAGCCTCAGGATATGTGGTAGCCCCCCCCGTGCTGGCTGTACTCACCATGGCATGGTGGACCAGGTATTCCCAAGATGAGCGGGACTGATGGTTGAAGATGATGTCAAGGGTGTCATGGATGAAGTAGCCTGTAGGATGAAGGAGCACGTTCAGAAGGTCTGGCTTGTGCACCATGACCCACTGTGAAAAGGAGGAGCAGAGAGGAGGAGGAAGGTGGTGTGACTTCTCTTCAGGTGTCAGAAACACCTCCACCCCGTCTGGGTGTCTGGGTATGGAGAGACGGCTATTCCCTGGGGGTTGGCAGCCTGTGGGCTCCACGCTGTGATTAAGGCAAGAGGCATGGAGCTGCCTAGCCCTTGAGCCAGTGGCTCATCCCGAGCCAGCATACCGGGCAAAGCTGAGCAGGGAGTGGGCAAAGTCCGGCAGGGTGGCTGCGGCCACTGCCCTGCCTGGCTCCTTACCTGAGGAAAAGCAGACCAGCAGGTGCCCTGAGACGCTGTAGCCGTCCTGGATGTCGGAGAGCAGCTCCGGAGAGTGCCAGAGGCTGGGAGTGACGAGAGGAGG